CGCACGACGGAAAGCGGCGCCGAAGAACGGCGGCGGAAAGCGCGTGGCAATTTTGGCGGCTCCAGTAAAAATTTACTGCTTTACGATGTCGTATCGCTTGTTATGTTTAGGGAGGGGGGAGGAGATTATGGGGAGGGGGAATTGGGGGGGGGGAACCTGGATTCTCCTGGCTTTAGGGAGCTTTGCTATCTGTGCAGTGGGGTCTCTCCTGCACCTGGGGAGGGGGGGGGCGTAGCGCAACCTCGCCGGTATCGCCTTACCGGGAACAAAATATAGCGTCCTATAAATAGAGGCTGATTTAGTTTTTTCCCCAAAGGAAAAGCAGGTTGTTTTTTTCCTATCGGTCTCCTAAGCCGTGGCAAAATTGCAAATGAGGCTGGGGGGCAGCAGCGCCTAGAGGGGGGTTTCCTAAAACCTCGGCCGCGTCCAAGTGGGCGGATGTCAAAACCCAGCATTCCCAGCCACGTTTCGTTCCAGAAACCTTGGCTAGCGAATCTAAGGAAGGGGAAAGAAATAACGGGATCGGATCTCCCTTCTGGGATCAAAACAGATCAAAGCGAATCGATTTGGGGACGGGATCGGGCCTGGGAGGAAAAGGCACCTGTGGAGAATGATTTCCTGGGGGGAGAAGAGTGGGAAGGGATCTTGGAGGTCATCTAGTCCAGCCCCCCTGCTTGGTCAGAGGATCCTATACCAGAGTTGGCGAACCTTTTCGGCACCAAGTGCCGAAACGGGAGTGTGCACATGTGCGGGGGGAGCACTGGAAGCTCACTGGCGTGCGGGCGTGCGCTAGAAGCCAGATTCAAAACCGCCGAACTGCCGACCTTTCTGATCGACAAGCTCAGTGTCTTACCCACTGAGCCACCGCGTCCTTTCTTCCATCTTTACTCCCCGCCCCCCAAACCAAGAGGCAGCTCTGCCCTTTTCAAGTCGGTTGGACTGCAAAGCCCATCATCCTTGGGCAGATTGGTGACTAAAATCCCAACATGTCTGGGAACCGCGATGGAGGGAGGCCACCGCCGATAACTTAAGGCGGGGAATTCACCCTGGAGTTGGGACTGAAATTATGTCCTTTCCCGACGTGGCAGTTAATTTTATGTCTTATGGGAGGAGCCAATCATCTCCAAGCCTTACTCCCACGTCGACCCTGTTTTCTTGATTGTTCTTGCCTCCTGGCAGCTCTGCGCAGGCGCACACCGGGAACAGGCCCCAGCTGTTCTTCCGCCTCGCTGATGTCTGACTCCGAAGGCAGCTGATAACTATCAGACGGCCTTGGCCCCCTCTCTGCCTCCGATGCAGAGCCCTCCTCAGAGCCTTCCCCAGAATCCAGGACTGGCCCAGGTTCCTCCCCAACCCTCCTCACTCTCTGACTCTGCTGCCAAGGTGGCGCAGTGGTTAAAAAGCAGCACTGCAGGCTACTGCTAGATCAGCAGGTCAGCGGTTCAAACCTCCCCGGCTCAGGGT